AGGAAGTAGGCTGGGCGCCGAGCGCCAAGTAGGGAGATAGGGGCTGGACACTCATGTTGGTGGTGGCGAGACCAAGCTCTCATTGACATTGGTTTTCAGTGTTACGAATCTTCATTGGTGTTATATTGGTGCATTTCTGCTTTCTGGACACTGTGATACTGTCTGGCCTTCAATGTGATTGTGCAATCTGCTTATTGTCATCTCGCTATTGCTCATTTTCCTTGCAATTTGGTATCGGAGCTGGTTCGAACTGCGCTTCATTGGTTCTTCGCGATAGCTGTTCGGTGCTTCGCATGAGGTGTGGGGCAGTGATAAGGCTCAAGCGTTGGACGTAAGGCGGCACAGGGTCGTGTGGGCGCGCCAGGAAGCTATGTGGTAACATTAGGGGTGTACGCTGGATGAGGAGAGCTCGCTGATGTGGCATTTAAGCCGAGGTGGAACTCCATTCTACTGTTTGTTGTGCCGAGGCAAAGGCCGGTCATCATAAATGCATATCAGGTTGCCGGTGAGAAATCTGTGGTTGGGGGCAGCATTATGAGGTACGTTGCTCTCTTCCTTATCTACCCTCTCCAATACTTCTTACCGTGAGGAAGTGAGTTATGTCTTGAGAGTATTCTCAATGTGAGGTGTCGACCGTGTCGCGAGCGCTCAACCTTGAGAGTCGACATTCTTCCTGGGCAGCAAGCTGGTGGGAGACGGGCGATGCCTCTGAAGGGCCTTGGACGAAGCACTCGGGTCACCGTCACCATGCCAACCCGATGCGACTAGTACACACATGCTTTGCCGCAAGTCCTTGGTTCTGCTGCTGCGCAATAGAGGTCATTTAGGGCATGCCAGCCCTTTGAACAAACGCTTTCCAGACCGTCTTTAAATATTTCTGGCAGGGACTCGGTGTTGACTCTGGCTGTGATTGTCGTCCTGATGCAGTGGATGCCAAGGATCTCATTGTTGAGTCCTAAACCTTTTTCTGGCGACAGGAAAAAGGATGAGGACCTGGACACCTGGGTGAGAACTGTGCCCACATATGTGAGGCACAAGCTCACCTGGCCAGAGCAAGAAGTTATAGTGGCTGCCTCCTTTTTAGAGGGGTCAGCAGCCCGCTGGTTGAATAGCCTAGTGCAGCAGCAGGGCTACGGTCAGAACTTCGATGCCTGGGCCCAGGCCCAAACATTGGAAGACTTCGTACGGTCCGTGTATAATAGGTGGCATAACCCTCAAGGGGCTCAAAAGGCCACATACGCGATCAACAATCTTTGTGGCCAAAGGTACAAGAATGTTCGCGAGATCACAGATGCCATAGAATGTCTGCTCGTGGTACCTGGTGTGCGCTATGACCAGCAGGTACTCCTTACGGATTACCTCAGATGTCTGCCTTCAGAGGTAAGGACTAAGTTGGTAGATGAGGCCTACGTCGACCAACACCACTTCGCTTCTTTCAACAAGAAGGCCTAAGATATAGAGGCAAAGCTTGGGTCCGCGCAGCAAGGTCCAATAGATGGTAGGAGGAAAAAGCTTCCCCAAAACTGGAAAAAGAAGGGTCGGTTAATATTCGTTGACCATGATGGTCAGGCGACGGAAATTGACGAGTTCCCAGATCTAGAGGATGAGACAGAGCATGATGGGGTCAGTGAGACTTCGGATGGGGGAGTCGTGGCGCCTATCAAAGAAAAGGCTAGGGGGACGGGGAAGAAGAAGGTAGGCCGGTCTACGGGTGAGGGCGACCAAGGAACACCTGCATGGGTAAAACTTTAGATTACGAGGTATGGAGGGACCTTGTTGCCAGGGGCACATGTATGAACTGTGGCAACTATGGCCACACGTCTAGGACTTGCCGAGGCAAGAAGGTCACCACGAGGGTAGCCGCTCTAATGGTGGTGGGCTTATCCTCGAACCCTGGCAGTGATTCTGCGAGCACTTCGCAAGGAAACACCTCGGGCCAGTAGGAGTGTTAGTCGTTGTTACTCGCGCTGAAGTGGTAACGTTGCCTTCCCCACTTCAGGCATTGGCCAAGGCTAGTGACCCGAACATCGCCCCGCAGACACATTCAGACCCACCAACGCTCTGTTCGAGAGATGTGTCTGAGTCCTTAGAAGAGTTACAGTCTGAATGGACAGGGAAGGACCCCAGAGACTCTTGGGCGATGATCAGTAGAGGTCCAAATGGTGAACATTTCGTGGTAGAGGTTGATGTAGGGACCGTGTTGCCAGGGGCACATGTATGAACTGTGGCAACTATGGCCACACGTCTAGGACTTGCCGAGGCAAGAAGGTCACCACGAGGGTAGCCGCTCCAACGGTGGTGGGCTTATCCTCGAACCTTAGCAGTGCTTCTGCGAGCACTTCGCAGGGCCAGTAGGAGTGTTAGCCGCTGTTACTCGCGCTGAAGCGGTAACATTGCCTTCCCGACTTCAGGCGTTGGCCAAGGCTAGTGACCCGAACATCGCCCCACAGACACATTCAAACCCACCGACGCTCTGTTCGAGAGAGGTGTCTAAGTCCTTAGAAGAGTTACCGTCTGAGTGGTCAGGGAAGGACCCGAGAGACTCTTGGGCGATGATCAGTAAAGGTCCAAAGGGTGAACATTTTGTGGTAGAGGTTGATGTAGGTGGCCGCAAAGTGGGTGTCTTCGTAGACATAGGCTCTACACGGAATTTCATCAGTCGTGCTTGTGTGGATAGACTGCGCTTAGGGGACCAAGTGCAGCGGCTTAGCAGAACTGTAGCTTCTACGCTAGCCAACAAGCACCAAATGTTAGTCAAAGACTATGTCAAGGACATAGTCTGTACCTTCTCTTATGGAGGAGGGGAAGTGAGACATAAAATCTCATTCCTCGTCAGCGATGAACTGCCCTTCGATATGCTGCTAGGCATACTACCTCGAGGTTGCTCAACCTCGGTTTGATTGGGATAGGAAGGTGTTGATACACAAGCTGCCAAATGGTAGGACCGTTAGATTGCAAAAGTTTAAAGCTAGCAGTCTAGTGGAAAACTACGGTTGCATGTGTGCCTCCTCTTTCTATAACTACTATTAGCAAAATCGCGAGGAGGGTATGTATCTAGTCTTTGTCTCTGAAAAAGGGGAAGCCGTTAAAACACACCCAGAGA